CGCGTCGCCACGGGCCAGTTAACAGCCGTTTCCTCTTACTCTGGTCCAGCGCAGCGGCTTAATAGCCGGTCAACGCGAACAAGCGTTATCTACTCGCCAACCTTTTACTTATCGTTTCTATTATTTATCATTACGTTTATACCGATTTTACTTTTATTATACGTTGGTATTATCAGTTGACCGCATTCGGACTATCTGCGTCGCGTATCATATTTCACATATATGTTCGCGATGGTGACCTTTTTCCTTCGTAGCTTTTCTTTTCTTCTTCCTTGCTCGGAGAACAAGATAAATTTATCACTGCCAGTTGTCTGCAAATCAAAGTCCTTGCATAACTGAAAATACAATCGTGCGACCCGTAATAGCACGGAATAACAGAATAACTTACGAAACTATGCTTAAAAAAGAGCGAAACGAGTATCCGCGTATATTCGATCGATCGAGCTTCGATATTCCATTCCTGCTCGTCCTCTTGCTTCGTCCGGCGATTGTCAGTTTACAGAATTGAGCAAATTAAAACCGTGCTGGTTCTTGAAAATGACTTTGATCGCGATCAACGATGCATTTTGAGCAAGGTCTTTGGAAATCTCCTAATAACTAGGTCGATCTCGTTAAACAACACCATGATACCCAAAACCTACACACGCCCGATATTTTGAGTTTGTCGCGCCGACATCCAAAATATCCAAATCGCTCCTTGAAAACAAGCTAGTAAACTAGTGATCGGTGCACCGTGATACGTTAGAAGTGGGAAAAAAAGAAGGAAAGAGCGGAAAATATCAATCGTAACGGAGGAAATTATAGGTAAACACAGGACGCGATATAGGGAAAAGACAAAGTCACCCTAGCCGATTCGTAGGGACATCGTGTATGCGCTATGGACGTTCTAAGGAGGCTTTAGATACAGAAAACTCACGCGCGCCTAATAAACGATAATCACATGGCGGTACACGCGGCTATTTTCACAGGAATGTCGCTCGTTCCGACGACACTAGCAGAAATAAACGTTTACACGTTTACGCGTAAATGCAAAGTCAAGCTGTGTAGCAAACGTTCTTCTGGCAAATTCTACGCGAGCTCGTTCGTCCATGAAACGAAAACAGAAAACGAAAAAGAAAGTAAAAAGAAGAAAAAGGAAAAAAGAGGAGAAAGGAGAAAAAAAAAATGAAAACGATGTACGTATTTTGTCTTAACGTCTTTCATCGAGTTTAGGATTTTTATAATTGACGCATCGTCCATCCGTTTGTCGGTAACGCGAAATAGGATGTTCGGATGGTAAGGCACTTTACGAAAAGCGCGTTTAGTTTCATAGTCTACGATATTATCGACTACTTACCTCGTCGGTGACGTATTCAACGCGTATCGGTGGCGATTATCGCGTCTACTCGTTTTCCATTGAAATCGCAGACGAGCGTCTATTCCTACTCTAAGGTATGGTAGTTATCGCTACAACTGCTACGATATCGACAGTCGGTACGATAGGGACGGATACGGGACGGTATACAGGCTAGACGGGAAAGTAGAGCGCGAACAAACGTAAATTTGAAATTGCGCAACTTTTCAGTCTGCGAATACGAATCGTCGCGAGTACGAAAAGTATTTTTGCAGGCCGCGAAGCAGATCGACGTTTAACGATTTCCACGTAGCGAAACGAAAATGACAACACCGGATGCAGCTCGTTCTCATAATAATTGTTTATTGTTGAAGTGATATAGATATAATGATCCGTAACGTAATTCAACTACAATGAGACAAGTTGCGTAACTAGCAAGATTCGTGTTTATACATGGATTATACAATATGTACAGAAAACCTAAGATCGTACAAGCAATACTTTGTTTTGGACAACTTCACAGGACTCGCGATCGGGGAATAGCTGCCAGCCTTTCCGTGCCCCCCCTTTCCCATCTTTTCTTCTCTTTTCCTTTTACTTTTTTCATTTTTTCTTTTTTCTCGTCCATTCCTTAATTTAAAAACGAGCATTGCGCAAGCACGCGAATCATCTGCACACGTGAAACTGGTAAACGTTCCACGTAACTTACGAAACATTTTTAATAGCACACTAACGACTTACATCCACTTCTCTAACCCGACGTTTTTTCGCCTTTTACACTTATCGCGTGTTTGTTATTTACAACGGTATCTATATACACGTACATATGTATACGATAGTCACTGTGAAAGGAGATTTTTTGATTGTTTCCCTAAACGCTACCTTTTACGCTCTCGAGCGCTCTCTCCTAGCATCGATCGTATCGTTTTCTTCTTTTCCTTTCTAACTCGAATTTTACATTTACTCGAATTTCGGTTTCTTCTTCTTCTTCTTCTTCTTCTTCTTCTTCTTCTTCTTCTTGCTTCATTTCGTCTTCTCGTTGTTCCGGGATGAATCGACAATCATTATCGGACCGTGTTTCTTTATAAAAACAGTGATTAATTATCGCAGTTGATTTTCTTTATCGCGGATTCGCACGACGAACGATTACTATCGTAAAATAAACGCATAACCGCCGTACAGATGGACACGTATGTTTATCGACAACGAACCTAAGAAACGAAATACTGCTAAAGGCAGGTGGATTCGACCGTCACTGACAGACGGTCAACCGTGAATCGATTCCGTCTCGCGAGCCATATTTTCAGAAACACATTTACGCGAGAACGTTAAAAAACGTTCGTACCCTTTGTTCTTTCGGCTGCTTGTTCCATACGCTCGTTCCATACAAATCTGTCCGCTGTATTCCTGCTGATCGAAGCCGTTAGTTTCCAGCCGTGGCTCCTTTTCTTTTATCCGGTTCGCGATTTTCTCGCTTTTACGCGGATACAACGATGCAACGAAGTTTCACCGAATTACCGAATCGTTATTAAGAAATACGAAAACGAAGAGAGAAATTAGCGCGCAAACCAGAGACGGTTGCTGCATCGAATATCTTTCAAATATATTTCCTCCTTTGAATTTGTCGAAAAGGCCAATTCTGTTAAAATATATGTTTTATTTCCACCGTTACACAGTATCTGCGTATCTTCGTACGAAACTTTCGTCTGAAACTCGCCAAGCATTTTCATCTAACGTCCTCGATCGTAATAACTAGTCGTTTTCCGCAATTCTTGATCAACGTATAGCCACCGTGGAGACCCGGGGATCGCGCGACACCGCGATACACCGTGCTCCTCTTATTATCCTCTTGTTTTGCAACGAGAGTCGTCGAATCGACCGAGTTCTTAAAAAGTTACATCTAAGCTAGTTAAAAATCAGATAAATTACGTAAAGTGCTTAATGGACACACGTATGCAGCATTGCTATCGTTACTTTTTACACGTTTCTTTACATGCGTATCGTATCTCATCTATTATTAGTATTTTTATTTATTTATCTATCCTTTGTTCGCATTTGACGATTAAACGCGAGAACATACAGGAAAGCCATTATACACGAGAGTATTAACTTTTCGAGTACGAACGAACGCGATCGATCGCGCACAGTCCACGACGTATGCCTGTTCGATCGCATCGTATTCGCATCGTATTCGCATCGTATTCGCATCGTATTCGCATCGTATTCGCATCGTATTCGCATCGTATTCGCATCCTATTCGCATCGTATTCGCATCGTATTCGATAGATTTCTTCGCAACGTACGATTACCGATAACTTTCTCGCCACGCGGCCTTGTTAAACG